TTTGTACACACCATATAGCCAAAATAGATTGTGTATAAGTGTGTAACCCGTTTTCGCACAGACCTATATACCTTAAATGGATTCAGTTTAAGAGTGCAACCTGTTTTTGTACACACCTATATAGCCAAAAAAGATTGTTTATTAGAGTGTAACCCGTTTTTGTACACATCTATATACCGTCAAGAGCTTCAATTTAAGAGTGTTACCCGTTTTTGTACACATATTTATACCGTAAAGAGATTCAATTCAAGAGTGTAACCCGTTTTTGCACATTTAAATACTTTGAGAATTGATTCAATTTAAGAGTGCAACCCGTTTTTGTACACACCTATATAGCCAAAAAAGATTGTTTATTAGAGTGTAACCCGTTTTTGTACACATCTTTATATCGTAAAGAGATTCAATTTAAGAGTGTAACCCGTTTTTGTACACAACTATATAGCCAAAAAAGATTGTTTATTAATGTGTAACCCGTTTTTGCACATACAAATACTTTAAGAGTTGATTCAATTTAAGAGTGCACCCCGTTTTTGTACACAACTATATAGCCAAAAAAGATTGTTTATAAGAGTGTAACCCGTTTTTGTACACATCTATATATCGTAAAGAGATTCAATTTAAGAGTGTAACCCGTTTTTGCACATATAAATACTTTGAGAATTGATTCCATTTAAGAGTGCAACCAGTTTTTGTACACACCTATATAGCCAAAAAAGATTGTTTATTAGAGTGTAACCCGTTTTTGTACACATCTTTATACCGTAAAGAGATTCAATTTAAGAGTGTAACCCGTTTTTGCACATATAAATACTTTGAGAATTGATTCAATTTAAGAGTGCTACCCGTTTTTGTACACAACTATATAGCCAAAAAAGATTGTTTATAAGAGTGTAACCTGTTTTTGTACACATCTTTATATCGTAAAGAGATTCAATTCAAGAGTGTAACCCGTTTTTGCACATATAAATACTTTGAGAATTGATTCAATTGAAGAGTGCAACCCGTTTTTTGTACACAACTATATAGCCAAAAAAGATTGTTTATAAGAGTGTAACCCGTTTTTCTACACAATTCAATGAGTGTTACCCATTTTTGTACATACAAATATACCCTAAAGAGATTAAATTTAAGAGGGCAACCCGTTTTTGTTCACATCTATATACATTTCATTTTGATAATTACAAATTAAGAATGTAACCCGTCTTTGTTCCAACTAAATACATTTGATAATTACAATTTGTAAGAATGTAACCCGTTTTTGTTCACATCTATATACATTTAATAATTACAATTTAAGAATGTAACCCGTTTTTGCACATACCTATAAACCATCAAGAGATTCAAATTAAGAATGAAACCCGTTTTTGCACACATCATTATACCCTAAATAGAATCATTTAGGAGAGCAACGCGTTTTTGTACACATCCATATACATTTATAATTACATTTTACGAATGTAACCCTTTTTGCACACATCAATATAGCCTTAAGAGATTCAAGGTAAGAAATTAACCCGTTTATGCCCACATCAATAAAGAGATTCTTTAAGAGACTCTTAAATTGTATTTGTCAAATGTGTATAGATATGTACAAATACGGGTTACATTCTTAAATTTATATAGGTATGTGCAAAAACGGGTTACATTCTTAAATTCAATCTCTTTAAGGTATATTGATGTGGGCAAAAATGGGTTACACTGTTAAATTGAATCTCTTTAGGCTATATTGATGTGTCCAAATACGGGTTACATTCTTAAATTGCAATTAACAAGTGTATACAGATGTGTACAAAAACAGGTTACACTCTTAAGTTGTAATTATCAAATGTATAGATTTGTACAAAAACGGGTTGCCCTCTTAAATTGAACCTCTTTAGGGTATATATGTATGTACAAAAAAGGGTAACACTCTTAAATTGTATGTATCAAATGTATACATATGTGTACAAAAACGGGTTACACTCTTAAATTGACAATCTTTAGGGTATATTGATGTGTGCAAAAACGGGTTGCACTTTTAAATTGTTTGTATCAAGTGTATAAAGATCTGTACAAAAACTAGTTGCACTCTTGAATTGAATCTCTTTACGGTATAAAGGTGTTTGCAAAAACGAGTTACACTCTTATATTCAATCTTTTATTTTGGTTATACAGCTGTGTACAAAAACGGGTTGCACTCTTAAAGTTACATGTATGAAGTGTATGAAGATGTGTACAAAACGAGTTACACTCTTGTATACAATCTCTTTGGCTATATTGGTGTGTACAAAAACGGGTTGCACTCTTCAATTGAATCGATTCAATGTATTTATGTGTGTAAAAACGGGTTACACTCTTACGTAGAGTCTATTTTGCCCATGTAGGTGTGTACAATAACGGGTTGCACTCTGAAATGGAATCCATTTAACGTATGTGTGTATGTACAAAAACGGGTTACACTCTTACGTAGACCCTTACCTGGCCATGTAGATGTGTACAAAAACGGGTTGCACTTTGAAATTGAATCCATTTAACGTTTGCATGTTTGTGCAAAAACGGGTTACACTCTTAACTGAATCTCTTTCGGGTAAATAGGTGTGTGCAAAAACGGGTTACAGTCCTATGTCTGATATGCAATCATTTTTGGCTATATAGGTGTGTACAAAAACGGGTTGCACTCTTAAATTGAATCGATTCAATGTATTTATGTGTGCAAAAACGGGTTTCACTCTTACGTAGAGTCTATTTTGGCCATGTAGGTGTGTACAATAACGGATTGCACTCTGAAATTGAATCCATTTAACGTTTGCATGTTTGTGCAAAAACGGGTTACACTCTTAATTGAATCTCTTTCGGGTAAATAGGTGTGTGCAAAAACGGGTTCAATCCTATGTCTGATATGCAATTATTTTTGGCTATATAGGTGTGTACAAAAACGGGTTGCACTCTTAAATTGAATCGGTTCAATGTATTTATGTGTGCAAAAAACGGGTTACACTCTTACGTGGAATCTATTTTGCCCATATAGGTGTGTACAATAACGGGTTGCACTCTGAAATGGAATCCATTTAACGTATGTGTGTATGTACAAAAAAGGGTTACACTCTTACGTAGACCATTATCTGGCCATGTAGATGTGTACAAAAACGGGTTGCACTCTGAAATTGAAATCATTTAACGTTTGCATGTTTGTGCAAAAACGGGTTACACTCTGAATTGAATCTCTTTCGGGTAAATAGGTGTGTGCAAAAACGGGTTACAGTCCTATGTCTGATATGCAATCATTTTTGGCTATATAGGTGTGTACAAAAACGGGTTGCACTCTTAAATTGAATCGATTCAATGTATTTATGTGTGCAAAAACGGGTTACACTCTTACGTAGAGTCTATTTTGCCCATGTAGGTGTGTACAATAACGGGTTGCACTCTGAAATGGAATCCATTTAACGTATGTGTGTATGTACAAAAACGGGTTACACTCTTACGTAGACCCTTATCTGGCCATGTAGATGTGTACAAAAACGGGTTGCACTCTGAAATTGAATCCATTTAACGTTTGCATGTTTGTGCAAAAACGGGTTACACTCTTAACTGAATCTCTTTCGGGTAAATAGGTGTGTGCAAAAACGGGTTACACTGTTAAATTAACTGTTGTTAGGGTATATAGGTGTGCAAAACGGGTTACACACTTAAATACAATCTAATTTGGTTATAAAGGTGTGTACAAAAACCTGATGCATTTTTAAATTTAATCTATATAACGTATGTGTACGTGTGCAAAATCGGGTTGCACTCTTAAAGTGCATTTATCAAGTGTATATAGATGTGTACAAAACGGGTAGCATTGTTAAATTAGCTGTTGTTAGGGTAAATAGGTGTGTGCCAAAACGGGTAACATTCTTAGAAAGAATCTATTGTGGCCATATAGATGTGTACAAAAACGGGTTGCAGTCTTGAAATGAATCCAGTAAAAGTATGTTTGTATGTGCAAAAACGGGTTACACTCTTAATTGAATCTCTTTGGTGTATACAGGTGTGTGCAAAAACGGGTAACAGTCTTATGTCTTATATACAATCTTTCTTGGCTATATAGGTAGGTACAAAAACAGGTTGCACTCTTACATTGAATCCATTTATGGTATATAGGTATATGCAAAAACGGGTTACACACTTATACAATGTATACAATCTATTTTGGCTATATAGGTGTGTACAAAAACGGGTTGCATTCTTAAATTTAATCTATATAAGGGTATATAATTAAAAATAATCTATTCTGGCTATATAGATGTGTACAAAAACGGGTTGCACTCTTAAAATGAAGTCATTTAAAGTAAATATGTATCTGCAAAAACGGGTAACACTCTTTAATTTATTCTAATTAACGTGTTTAATATATGTAGATGTGTACAAAAACGGGTTAAACTGTGATTATTAAGTGCTTTTAGGGTATATAGCTGTGTGCAAAAACGGGTAACGCTCTTATAAATAATCTATTCTGGCTATATAGATGTGTACAAAAACGAGTTGCACTCTTAAAATGAAGCCATTTAAGGTATATATGTATGTGCAAAAACGGGTAACACTCTATAATTTATTCTAATTAACGTGTTTTTGTATGTACAAAAACAGGTTGAATTCTTAAATCTAATCTATAAATGATTTTTATACGTGTGCAAAAACGGGTTGCACTTTTAAAACTATATGTATCAAGTGTATATAGATGTGTACAAAAACGGGTTGCACTCTTGATTTGAATCTCCTTTCGGTATAAAGGTGTGTGCAAAAACGGTTTACAATTTAATATACAATCTATTTTGGCTATAAAGGTGTGTATAAAAACGGGTTGCATTCTAATATTTAATCTATATAAGGTATTTATACGTGTGCAAAAACGGGTTGCACTCTTTTAGTGCATATATCAAGTGTATATAGATGTGTACAAAAACGGGTTACACTCTTAAAATGAAGCCATTTAAGGTATATTTGTATGTGCAAAAACGGGTAACACTCTTTAATTTATTCTTATTAACGTGTTTATGTATGTACAAAAACAGGTTGAATTCTTAAATCTAATCTATATACGGTATTTATACGTGTGCAAAAACGGGTTGCACTCTTAAATTGTATATATCAAGTGTATATAGATGTGTACAAAAACGGGTTGCACTCTAATATAGACTCTTTTTTGAGTATACAGGTGTGTACAAAAACGGGTTACACTCTTAAACGGAATCCATAAGGGTATGTAGGTGTGTGCTAAAACGGGTTGCACTCTTATATAGGATGTATTTTTGGTATATATGCATGTGCACAAACGGGTTGCACTCTAGTATTCGATATGTCAAGTGTATAAAGACGTGTACAAAAAACAGGATGCACTCTTCAATTTACTCTGGACAGAAATCAGTTATGACCAGTTTGGGGTAGAACAACATAAATTTTGTTGAATAGATGGAAACAGTGATTTTTTTTAAAAAATACTTGATATTTTACGAAATATTCTAATTTCTATGATATCATCATAAAAACAAAAAATACATGTTAAACTTTTATTGGTATATATAAACTAGAAATTATTCTATAGTTTTGAATAATAAAATAAATAAAATATAAAGTTATCATTCATCTATGTATGAAATATGTAATAAATGATATAAAAACTATAAAATATTTGGTTGCCATGGCAACAAAAATATAAAAAATACTTCAAATACAACATTATTGCATTTGACATGATTAATTCATCACGAAATTAATGTATTTAAAGACAACCAGATTTAAGACCTTTCAGAAAAAGAAAAAAAATAGATTTTTCATTCTTCCCTTAATAATGTTTTAAATAACAGAATATAAACTTAAGTCTTAAATTCTCAGATTATCAGTAAGTTTTCTATGATTAAGGTGAATATCATTACTTAAGTAAGTCCTCTATAAAACTCATATCTGTAACATGGTGGCATATACATTATTAATACAATGCAAAACATATATATTCCTTATTGCAATGATTACAAAAAAGTGTATTTTTGGTTGCCGTGGTAAAAAAAATGATGCCAAAACAAGATTGCATTTGTAAAAAATGCCAAGCCACCGCATTGATACAACACTCTATATTAATGTAGGAACACAATATTTTTGTTTCTATACAGACTGCCATAATGCATAGATCACTTACCTATCTAATTGTTATTATCAGATTAGTACCTTCAGACAAGAAGATTTTAAATTTTTTACTTTATGACATTTGTCAATTAGATTAGCCTTTCTCAAATGAGATCAATCATCCTATGAAGTTTCAAGTCCATAGATTTTATACTTTAGAAGAAATGGCCCAGAGTATCAGTTCTTGTGCACTGCACTTTGGGTCATTATAAGAAGCATGCATATCAAGTTTGAAGTCAATCCGACTTATAATGACTGACTTATGCTCCTGACAAGCTTAAGGGGACACCGACACTGACGACAAAAGTAACCCCTATATGTCACCTTTTTCAAGGCGACACAAAACTTATGACCCCCAGGGCGGGGCTAATTTTGACACTAGAGGCAAAATTTGAAAACTTTGGCAGAGTACATATAGATGATATCATATACCAAATATCAAAGCTCTAAGCCTTGAACTTTCAGACAAGAAGGTATTTTAAGTTTTTACTATATGTACATATAGTGAAAATCAATGACCCCTGGGGCCGGCCAATTTTGACCCCAGGGCTATAATTTGAACAATCTTCGTAGAGGTCTACCAGACAATGCCTTATGCAAAATATCTATACTCTAGGCCTTGTGGGTCTTTACAAGAAGATTTTTAAATTTATCCTTATAATTCCTTTTGGTTGCCATGGTAACCAGATTTCTGCATGGTATGAAATTCTTTGAACAACTTGTCAAGTTTGGTTGAAATTGGACAAGTGGTTTTTCACAAAAAGATTTTTAAGTTCACTATATTATAATCTATAAAACACACAAACACACACACACACAGGTGAATCGCTATATGCCACCGCATCACAGATGCTGTGGTGGCATAAAAACTGTATAATTTAGAATAATGGCATTTCATAGAAGTAAACCATATTAAATATCTCTATTCACAATAATTTTTAAGGTCTTTCAGAGCTTGTACTATTTTCCTGACTATATTTTCAGTTACAGATATTGACTGTGTAATCATATTCAGTCTATTTTAAACTGTATAATATGAATATATTAACATATTAGTATATTCTTTAATTGAAATAATTTCTATAAACAATTATTAAATAGAGACAAACAGAATCCCCAAAGAATGCCAAGAACAACAAAATTGACAATGTTTCAGGCTCGGTTTTATTGAGCCTGTTCATGGACGGTAATGGAAAGTGTAAGTTACCATCCAACCCCCTAGCACCTGCTTAAGCAGAATTCAACATTTAAATATGAGAACAGTGAAATTTTAAATTTAGAAACATCTACAGATATTAAAACCATATTCTGTCAAACACATGCAAGTCACAAATGACAGCTAACTTATGTCTTTGTACTTGGCAACGTAGTCTTGCAAAGTTCTCATCCAGTTTGTGGGTTTGAGCCAAACAAGGTAACATCAATCATGTTTACTCTTATGCATCCAGTTTTTGAGTAGAAAGTGATTTATAAACTTGCAAAACTTGTTTTACAATCAAGTAAAAATACTATTGCATCTGCCACTGCAGCATTCAGCTTTTTCACTAATTCACCTTTGGCATACTGTCAAACATAGACAAGTCATTGACTTCTCACATGCCATCCTGAAAACAAAAATCAAAAAAATCTGGAATAAGTCTTAATGCAACAATGAATTGTATATGATGATTTGACTGAACAGATATAAACTACAAGTACATTGTTGTATGATATTGCACAGCTATTGGCTTCATATAAGTTCTTGTGTAATATATTACAGTCTATATATCATGTAGCATTTAACATGATCAAAATAATCGAAATCTACATTATATACATGTATTGTGATGATGACACCTCATTTTCATTTCATCAAATAAAGGAAATTTAAAAAACTGAATAAATATAGATATGATAAAATCATTACATACTTACCCAAATGAATTTTTTTTTATCTTGACCAATACTGTACAGTTAATACAAATTGATCCTCTTTTTTTAATGCTCAATAGAACATAGATGTCACACATTTTGCCTCATTTCCAACAATAGTTTAGTACATTCACCAGCAAATAGATAAAATATCTATGTGTCCTGAAAATTATGTATACAGTATATACTTTAATTTCAATACATAAATGACAGAGTATTTTGAATATATCACAATGCAGCATTGTTTCTTATTTAGTTCCTTTTACTACAGTAGGCCTGCAGAGTTTTTAAATTTTAAAACAATAGTTTTAAGATCTCATGATCATCTCTAAAAATGCTAAATTGATAACAAGTTAAATTTGTTTTCAACTGCAATTCAGGAAATCTATCATTATTTTTATTTGATAAAAAGGGTTGAGAATGGTCAGTTTATGAGGATTATTTATATACATGTATGTATACAATCATAGTAAATTATCTGCTCTTTTAAACAGGTATAAAAACTTACCTATCCTTGTGGTCTTGAAGAATATGGCTCCAACATGTGGATGGTTATCTATTTAAAATTCAAAAACTTTTAAAACTGCAATCTGGAACATACGAAAGCGCGAGTGACATATCCCGTTATAGTACATCCCAGCTGCAATGAACTATGTTGAGAATCTTCACTGTATGTTGGATGACCTAAAATCACAAAAAACACAAAATATTTCATCAGCAAAAAAGTCTGGATCATAAATGATAGATATATCCTTGTACAATATATGGTAATGATATTCATGAGTACTGGGAATATAATATGATTTATTATGGAACTACATAAATTCTGGAACATACGATACGTTATACATCCCAGATAAATTATAGGATTATATTAATAAATGTGTTGCAATATTTATATAATGATGACACCTTCTTGGGGTATTGTATTTCAAAAACAGCCTATTTATTGTATTATTTCAAAAGCAGCATACTGTACAGAGGTATTAAACATATTTTTAATTACCAATCTTAAATTGTAATACAAACTGATGTTATATTTTAAGATCACATCCGTGTTATTTGTGCCGTGTGGCGGCTGTAAAAAGTCTCCCCGTACTTTTAATCAATGATGTTATATTTTCGATCCTTGAAGATCGTTCAGCACGACATTATTGTTGTGCTTGTGGTATTTTTAGTTTCAACTTTTTGGCACTTTCTAGTTGGGTGGTTCCAATATTCCTACTTGAATAATGTTGAATCACCCTTAGGATATGTTGCCTGCTTTTTAAATTTGTCTTTTGACGTCCTATCTGTGATACGCAGGCTTCATAACCTCAGATCCCCTTTCAAAATTCCATTTTATTTAGTTCCGCCCATTGTTTTCTCGTTTAGGGCACACGCATTTTTTTTACTTGGGGACCATATGCCGCTTTTCATGGAATGGCACTACCGTGTCACATTGAAGGTTCCATGATAACCGCCATATGAACACATCTGCGGATGTTTCAAAATTCTAAATTTTACCAGTTTATGTTAAATGTTGAATTCTGCTTAAGCCGGTGCTAGGGGGCGTGAACGGTAACTTGCACTTTCCAGTACCGTCCATGAACAGGCTCAATCAAACCGAGCCTGCAACATTTTCAATTTTGCCGTGTTGGGCTTTCTTTAGGGATTCTGTATTTATCTATTTTAAGATCACATCCGTGTTATTTGTGCCGTGTGGCGGCTGTAAAAAGTCTCCCCGTACATTTAATCAATGATGTTATATTTTCGATCCTTGAAGATCGTTCAGCACGACATTATTGTTGTGCTTGTGGTATTTTTAGTTTCAACTTTTTGGCACTTTCTAGTTGGGTGGTTCCAATATTCCTACTTGAATAATGTTGAATCACCCTTAGGATATGTTGCCTGCTTTTTAAATTTGTCTTTTGACGTCCTATCTGTGATACGCAGGCTTCATAACCTCAGATCCCCTTTCAAAATTCCATTTTATTTAGTTCCGCCCATTGTTTTCTCGTTTAGGGCACACGCATTTTTTTACTTGGGGACCATATGCCGCTTTTCATGGAATGGCACTACCGTGTCACATTGAAGGCTCCATGATAACCGCCATATGAACACATCTGCGGATGTTTCAAAATTCTAAATTTTACCAGTTCATGTTAAATGTTGAATTCTGCTTAAGCCGGTGCTAGGGGGCGTGAACGGTAACTTGCACTTTCCAGTACCGTCCATGAACAGGCTCAATCAAACCGAGCCTGCAACATTTTCAATTTTGCCGTGTTGGGCTTTCTTTAGGGATTCTGTATTTATCTATTTTTATGTGTCAACAATTACAGTACAGTAGAGTAGCCTTGAAATTTAATACCTATAAACTTTATTGGTAATATATGACAAGGCTACAGTACTGTACTGTAACTGTTGACAAATGAGTTTGTATAACAATTTTATTGAAAATAGATTGCCAAAATATTCTTGTGTCTACTTACATTTTTGTCTCATACTGTAGTAAAATAAGCTTTTGTTTGTTCACTTGTTTAATATTTACATTGCAGCCTGGACTTTACCAGTGATTTATTTATTTTGCAATTAATGGATTCAATTGAAAAAGTAAACAATTTTTCTATGAAGACCATGACAAATACAAATCAACATTGTATCCTAAAAAAATCATATCTGACCTAGACTCCTGCCATGTTTTTTTTTATAAAAGCAGTATTCAAAATATTATAAAAGATAACCAACGAAAATAGCATAAATAATAACGGATTCACTTACCTTAATATCTCTATAACTGTTTAACCCTCCAAATTTGCAGTATAAAACTGACATAAAGAGCATGATTGTCCCAAAACAGAACCCAAAGAGTGAAGGATAAAACTCTAAATTGCAAGTTGTTTCTTCGTAGACACTAAATAGTAAACCGAAATGAGGCGGAGTTATGCCAACCGGACTACTTTACAAAATCGCACTGCGCTGTTATGAGCATAATGTCCGCGTCACACTGTCCCGAAATTGGAACCAGATGGACACACGAATAAAGAAATGTTCAAATTCGGATCTGATCGTAATAACATCGGGTCATTCGTAAGGGCATCTTTTGTAACCGTATAACCCCCGGCTAAATTTTTCAGGCTCCGGCAGCAACTTCGTGAGCGTTCCTAAATTTTTTGGCATGCCAAAAAATTGCCGGAGGACATAGCGAAGGTTCATTTTCGTGTTCAGTTCGTATGCCAATTTTGCGCTTCGTAAGGCCTTCGTGAAGCCATCTTGTCAAATCGTATAGTATTCGTCTTAACATCGTGTAATCATCGGTGCCATCTGGCAACATTCGCCTCAAGAAGACAATACGAAGGAAATACGAAGATGCCCGAATGTCTTAGGAAGGCAACACGACTACGTGAAGCCCCCGCAATACCGTCATGTCGCCATCGTACTTTGGTACGATGCCATCGAGATGGGACCACGATGTGGGCGGAAGAAACAAATTTTAGTGGCTCAATCAAATGTATCATGGTGGACGTATAAAAGACTTGCCTCAAACCATCTTCCTCATCAGTCAGTACTGCACAACTCTATAGACAATACAAAAAAGTTCCATTATTTGCAGTAATTAACAATAATTTTCACAATGGCATATTTTGACGAAAACAAAACAAGAAAAAGAAGGCAGCAGCATTGCTACTATTAATAAATACTATGGAACCATGATAAGCAGCTGTTACAGGTCCAACACCGCCTCTTACAGGTAAAACAATACTGAATTATTTAGTTTTGTCATTTCCTGCTATTTGCCTTTCCAGCATTCGACAATGTACTTATGTTATTTTGTTTTTATGTTTTAGAGCAGGGGCAAACCAAGGCGAAGGAAGAAACCGAGATCTGTGTGGGTCAGGAAATGGCTATCTGAGAAAAGAAGAGAAAAGTATGGCCACTACAGCACTCTACTAAAGGAGTTGAAGATAGAAGATGAGAATTCCTTCTTTAACTATACAAGACTTCCCAGAGGTCTATACGATGAGGTCCTGCAAAGAATAGAAGGCAGAATACAGAAAAAGGACACATGGTACAGAAAGTCTGTTCCTCCTAGTCGCAAGCTGTCTATCACTCTACGACACCTGGCCTGTGGTGACAGTTATAAAAGCCTGTCCTACAACTTCAGAGTAGCTCCAAACACCATCTCCCTTATAATAAATGAAGTTTGCGATGCCATCAAAGCCGAGTTTGCTGCTGAGGTGATACAGTGTCCTACTACAAAGGAAGAGTGGACTGCCATTGCTGAGCAGTTTGAAAAGAGATGGCAATTTCCACACTGCTGTGGTGCTCTAGATGGCAAGCATGTGGCGAATACATGTCCTTGGAATACTGGTTCTATGTACAGAAACTACAAGGGCTTCTTACTCTTCGTACTCACAATACGACGTCGTGTTCCCATCGCGTGGCCTTCGTGTGTCCTGCGTGTTAACTATTTGGTTAAAAATTGCATCTTTTAGGTGACTTCGTGTGCGAATCGGATGCAATCGCGTAACCTTCGGTAAGAATCGTGTGTTGATCGGATGCGATCGCGTGACCTTCTGTAGGAATCGTACTTGCTTCGGCATTTGATTGACTGTCGACTTATTTCGGGGCCAACTTCGCGCGAAATTAAAAATTCCTTATTCGTATGCACATCTGGTGTCAAATTCGGGACAGTGTGACGCGGGCATAAACGAGTTGCATTTCAGCCATTCCGGCTATTAACACCGGTTTGGAGTTTTGATGCGTAGGAATTCACCACGAAGGCCGTAGGCCTGAGTGGTTAATTTGTCGCATCAAAATGACAAAACCGGTGTTAATAGCCGATATACACCTCTCAGGCCGATGTTTTTTCGATTCTAACACGATAAAATAAGGAAAATCACTAATGTTATTTTTCAAGCGGAAATAACTTCGGTGCCGATTTTCGTATAACGCTGTTCGATTTTCGCACCCTACTGTGGCGAAGATATAGAAATTATTAAACAAAAGAAATAATAAGAGAAAAAACGTTATTTTATCAAGTTTTAAACAATAAAAAACTTACGTCGTATTGTGTTTACATCAGCGCCCCATTTATCATTCTTGTATGCATGAAATAACGTCGGCTTGTTTATAAATGAGTTGTTTACTTAGGATGACGTCATTACGCTGCTTACGGATTGGCGCCGTTTTGTCAAAATATTTATCAACTTATATGGATCTAATATGTGGCGTTAGTGTATGTGAGATATTATTTCGGTATTGTATGAAAAGAAAATATTATACGAACTGAAAATATAAATAAAATGCTATTATTGTTTGCTTAAAAATGCTTTGTAAATTATACAATCGAGGGCGAAAACATAACAGCGCTTATACAAGTAGTGCCTAACCGGTGTTTATTGGCAGTTTAACACCAGTTTTTTTCCTCCTTTGTATATAGTGACAAAATTACGTGAGTGTTAGAATTTACAATATACATAGAAATTTTCCCCTCATAAAGCGTGCACATAACGGGTTTTTTCCTTTCAGTTGAATACAAACATGATAGTTATATCAAACACTTTACTGTGATGTGTGGGATATATCAAACACTTTTTAGCCTCTCTGATTGGCCGAGAGAAAACAGCTGTGGTCTAATGTTCTTTTTGACTGTGGGGAGGAGTTAAGTTGTTCACTAATGCGTTGCAAGCGTGTCAAGTCTATGTTATTACGGTATTGTGTAAGTTTATCATTTTGCCAATGTATATGTTGTGTTTCACTTTTAGTTTGTTGAATCGGTTCAGGTGGGACGGAAGCACCTATTACTATACTTAATAAACTATGTCCGTCTGACAGTAAAGGGTCCGTTTCAATAACATTAAAATACTCACTATACTCAAAACAATAAGCCACTGACATTTAAACTACCAATTTTCAGACACTTGTTTACGTTCGATTTCCCCCTATTGTCATAGTGCATGCTGTTTCTTTGAGTGTTGAAAGGCTGTGAAGGATGAGCGGTATCCCATGGTCGTCGGATGGTGAGACCTGGTGCGCTGGTGCTAGTGTTACCCTGACTTCCGGTGGGGTTATGACGGACGTTATTATCTTGGGAACGTGAGACTGATGGAAATCTGGTGGCTTCATCGTGACGCAGAGCGTGTTTGGCGTCTGGAAGTCGATGTTGCATGACTTGTTGCACCTTCAGCCCCAACGTCAGAAGAATGAGAGCTACAGCTACTACTGCGAGACTGACCATCGGGAGAAATAATAATATTTTCATTGGATTGATCTGCTCCAAGAGAAAACCGTGTATTCATATTAGCAGACGACGATGTGTTTTGACTAGTGTGTATTTCTCGACTGCGTTGCATAATACTATCCCATCGTGGGAATGCATCTTGAATGACCTGTCCATTCATAATAATTTTAGCCGGGTAGACTAGTTGGACACGCTTGTTTGGATTTTCAGATTTTAAACGTTTATATTGTGGCCATAAAGATTTTCTTGCATTGTCAATTTCCTGGGGAAAATCCCGGTTAATGCTTTAACGTGTGTTTTTTAGTTTATATGCGTTGCTTGAGATCAATTGTGTGTCTGTATATGCTCTAAAGACCACTATGATCGGTCTATTTAATCCGGGTTTAAATCTTCCTAGTCTATGTGCGCGCTCAATATATACTTGGCTTTCAATATGTAGGTCATCTCGCACGAAAGAATTGATTTTTCTAGTACAGTCTTCGTCTCTAGATTCCAGAAAACCGACAAAGATAAGGTTGTTTCTCCGACTTCGAGATTCAATGTCTATAGATTTATATTCAAGGAGAGCAAGTCTATCCTCGTGATTGTCAACCAAAGATTTCATGCCTGGAATGTCACCTTGAATTTGTAAAAGTTTTGCCTAAATTTTGCGCATAGATTCACCTTGACTCCCAAATTTAGTAAACAGAACTGAAAGTTTTTCACCCACAGGCAATGATTTAAACTTGCCGGGTGACATTTCTGAATTCATAATATACCAGTCACTGTCTTTACTTGAACGAATTTTCCTCTTTTTACTTTGTATAGTTTACCACTTGGTATTACCATCGAAAACATCATGGCCGCCATTACCACCAAGGTCATCTGTATTCAGCACGTTAAAAAAATTGTTTTCTAAGTCACAAACAGTCAAATCTACAATTTTCTTACCCGGACTTGAGTTCTTTGTGTATTTTTATCCATATTTTTGAACTTGGCACGTTAAATCCAGAGAAATATTTCAAAAAAAAGTTCAGAGAAAAATAGACTACCTTTATCAAACCGGAAACGGAAGGAAAAAAAACATAGATTACCAATAGAAACCGGAAATTGTGCCCGAATACCAATCAATCAAAGAACATGTACTTCTTGTAACAATAAAATAGGCGACGAATTTCATTACTTATTTAAATGTGTTTTGCTTAATGACGAAAGAAAGAAATTTTGAAACCCTATTATTACAGACGTGCAAATACATTCAAACTAGAACAACTAATTGATACAGAAAACAAGAGCGAATATTTGAAATTATGTAAATTTTTTAAAACAATAATTTTAAGGTAATTAAATTTGTATCCACCTCTTATGTGATTACTTACATTCAAAGAATTACTTACATTCCAAGACTATTACACGAATATTTCACAGATTAATTTTTTATTACCCATAGTAAAGTGTTTGTTTGTTATAATATTTGTCTAGATAGTATTTAGCTTATAAGTATGAGTCTAGAAATGTCATTGTTAAGGTTCAAATATTATGTCGTACATAATTGTACATCACTTGTCAGTTGTTTATATTATTATTTCTTTTTCCTTTTTCTTTTTTGAATTTATTCTCATTGTTTGTCGATAAATTAAAAGAAAGGTAATATAAAACGAAATTCTACCCCTAGAGAGTGTCTAAATTAATTGACTCTCCATGGCTTTTTGTGGTAACATGTTTACTAAGAAATTTAACAATTTGTGGTTTTGATACATTGTTA